AGCCTGAAGACCCAAATAAATTAATGAATCATTTCCGTCTCTCATAATTTGGCCTTTTCCTTGCATCGCACTTTTTTTCTTATTCTAAATGCGATCAACATTTGATGTGTTTGGGGAATTTGGCTACCATTTTAAATACATTCTACTGAAATGAACAAAAGGTTTTCGAAAAAAGATTTGTTAATTTTGATGAACGAGATTCAAAGATCCAAGTCAGTAAAATGATCCGAACGTGCCACAACTATTACACACGTGTGCTGGATGAAGTGGATATGCACCTGTAGTCAACTGGTTGCCTGTGTTGTTCATTATTTTGGGGGCGGAGCAATGAAGGGAGGTGTGTGTTTGTTTGGCTGTCGATTTTAAATATCAACAGTGTTTATCAGAAATCACTGACTGCACTTTTAACTAGCTGGCAGTAAACATCAGTAGATCGCTGCTGCATGTATGAGATGGTTACCGTTTTATTCCTTGATGTTCTTGCTTTGCCTGACAGCTTATGTGGACCCTTGCTGTTCACCTTGTCCAATTCAGGAAAGGGAAGAGAAGCTGCACAATGGGGCTAAGAAAGCAGGAAATATTTGTGAAGGACAGAAAAACTTGTTTATGTTCATTTCTCTAGCTGTCCTACACTTTAACTATCATTTCTTTCACACACATCTCTAAGCTGAAATAGTCAATAATATAATGATACAGATGTTTTAAAGTGGACCTACCGATTTCTGCGGGCCCAAACTGCTGGCTGGCTTTTTATCAGTGGATTCTGCTGATGCTTGATTTAAAGGCTTCAGAAATATGAGACCACAATCACATGGTAACTAATCAGAATGACAGTAAAAGATTATCATGAATTACTGATCAATCTCTTTAGCATTTTCTTGATAGTACCTTGACTCGCCATGGCCAATCTGAGTCTCCATAATTGTAAGTGATTTCTTCTCCTGGTAGAATGTCTCGTACAGCAAAGAGACACAGGTGAGGTTTTCTGCTCACTTCAACGGTTCTCATTTTGCAAGTAGGATTTCTGGTCTGATCGTTTACAAGTCTTCCCAAGGACAACCCGTCTTCTTTAGATGCATCCATGCTATAAAGACATCCAATTATCACTCAATACTTGTAATCTTAGTATACATGATAGAAATGTACAGTTATTTTCTATAAGTGGTTCTGAACCCCAGTCCTGGGAACCCACCGCTCTGCATATGCTGTATGTCTCGTGTTTTAATCCAGCTGATTCAGATGAGGAGTTTATCATCAGAACACGGCTCTATGAACTCAACTGAGTGTGTCTGGTGAAGGAGACATACAGAATCTGCAGAGAGGGTCTGAAAACCACTGATATATATGATAGTGTACTGCAACATCCTCTCAGCTCTCAGATAAAGCCATCTCAAATTAAAGGGATACTTCACCTCTGCGAAGATGAATATGTATTTAAAATGGGTCATTTATGTAGAAGAAATGTGAAATTATTTTTGAATTTGGAGCTTTCTACTGTAGACTGAGAAAAGCCAGAAAATGTATTTTTGGCTTATGTGGATGAAAGACAACAACTCCCAGAATGCACTTGCTTCGCTGCCCTAGGAGGCCACGCCTACCGGTAACAGAGCGCAGTAGTTAAACAACAAGTATAGGCTACTAGTGAGTTCGAAAATGTGTTTTGAGATCGCCCAAAATGTTCGGGATTCGGCTTTTGCGTTCTACAGTCACCATTCATTATGTTTACTGTGGCGAGCAGGACGAGTGAGAGCCGCGGGAGAACGACGCGAGTCATGTTTACTGTGGCGAGCAGGACGAGTGAGGGCCGCGGGAGAACGACACGAGTCATGTTTACTGTGGCGAGCAGGACGAGTGAGGGCCGCGGGAGAACGCGCGAGTCATGTTTACTGTGGCGAGCAGGACGAGTGAGGGCCGCGGGAGAACGGCACGAGTCATGTTTACTGTGGCGAGCAGGACGAGTGAGGGCCGCGGGAGAACGGCACGAGTCATGTTTACTGTGGCGAGCAGGACGAGTGAGGGCCGCGGGAGAACGGCACGAGTCATGTTTACTGTGGCGATCAGGACGAGTGAGGGCCGCGGGAGAACGGCACGAGTCATGTTTACTGTGGCGAGCAGGACGAGTGAGGGCCGCGGGAGAACGGCACGAGTCATGTTTACTGTGGCGATCAGGACGAGTGAGGGCCGCGGGAGAACGGCGCGAGTCATGTTTACTGTGGCAAGCAGGACGAGTGAGGGCCGCGGGAGAACGGCGCGAGTCATGTTTACTGTGGCGAGCAGGACGAGTGAGAGCCGCGGGAGAACGACGCGAGTCATGTTTACTGTGGCGAGCAGGACGAGTGAGGGCCGCGGGAGAACGGCGCGAGTCATGTTTACTGTGGCGAGCAGGACGAGTGAGGGCCGCGGGAGAACGACGCGAGTCATGTTTACTGTGGCGAGCAGGACGAGTGAGGGCCGCGGGAGAACGACACGAGTCATGTTTACTGTGGCGAGCAGGACGAGTGAGGGCCGCGGGAGAACGCGCGAGTCATGTTTACTGTGGCGAGCAGGACGAGTGAGGGCCGCGGGAGAACGGCACGAGTCATGTTTACTGTGGCGAGCAGGACGAGTGAGGGCCGCGGGAGAACGACGCGAGTCATGTTTACTGTGGCGAGCAGGACGAGTGAGGGCCGCGGGAGAACGACACGAGTCATGTTTACTGTGGCGAGCAGGACGAGTGAGGGCCGCGGGAGAACGCGCGAGTCATGTTTACTGTGGCGAGCAGGACGAGTGAGGGCCGCGGGAGAACGGCACGAGTCATGTTTACTGTGGCGAGCAGGACGAGTGAGGGCCGCGGGAGAACGCACGAGTCATGTTTACTGTGGCGAGCAGGACGAGTGAGGGCCGCGGGAGAACGGCACGAGTCATGTTTACTGTGGCGAGCAGGACGAGTGAGGGCCGCGGGAGAACGGCACGAGTCATGTTTACTGTGGCGAGCAGGACGAGTGAGGGCCGCGGGAGAACGGCGCGAGTCATGTTTACTGTGGCGAGCAGGACGAGTGAGGGCCGCGGGAGAACGGCACGAGTCATGTTTACTGTGGCGAGCAGGACGAGTGAGGGCCGCGGGAGAACGGCACGAGTCATGTTTACTGTGGCGATCAGGACGAGTGAGGGCCGCGGGAGAACGGCACGAGTCATGTTTACTGTGGCGAGCAGGACGAGTGAGGGCCGCGGGAGAACGCGCGAGTCATGTTTACTGTGGCGAGCAGGACGAGTGAGGGCCGCGGGAGAACGGCACGAGTCATGTTTACTGTGGCGATCAGGACGAGTGAGGGCCGCGGGAGAACGGCGCGAGTCATGTTTACTGTGGCGAGCAGGACGAGTGAGGGCCGCGGGAGAACGACGCGAGTCATGTTTAATGTGGCGAGCAGGACGAGTGAGGGCCGCGGGAGAACGGCGCGAGTCATGTTTACTGTGGCGAGCAGGACAAGTGAGGGCCGCGGGAGAACGGCACGAGTCATGTTTACTGTGGCGAGCAGGACGAGTGAGGGCAGAGGGAGAACGGCTCGAGTCATGTTTACTGTGGCGAGCAGGACGAGTGAGGGCCGCGGGAGAACGACACGAGTCATGTTTACTGTGGCGAGCAGGACGAGTGAGGGCCGCGGGAGAACGACACGAGTCATGTTTACTGTGGCGAGCAGGACGAGTGAGGGCAGCGGGAGAACGGTGTGAGTCATGTTTACTGTGGCGAGCAGGACGAGTGAGGGCCGCGGGAGAACGACACGAGTCATGTTTACTGTGGCGAGCAGGACGAGTGAGGGCCGCGGGAGAACGACACGAGTCATGTTTACTGTGGCGAGCAGGACGAGTGAGGGCCGCGGGAGAACGACACGAGTCATGTTTACTGTGGCGAGCAGGACGAGTGAGGGCCGCGGGAGAACGACACGAGTCATGTTTACTGTGGCGAGCAGGACGAGTGAGGGCCGCGGGAGAACGACACGAGTCATGTTTACTGTGGCGAGCAGGACGAGTGAGGGCCGCGGGAGAACGGCGCGAGGCCGGTGGCGTGATTACTGATGAGCGACACCTGTGAGACGAAATTTTCTTAGCAATGTTAAAATGCACATCAACCGATCACTTGTTTAGCTTTCATGTAAACACTACATTCAGATTCACCAATCGGAATGAATTCAGTTAGATTGAAACAAAAGGTGTGCATGTAAACAATGAATGGCGACTGCAGAAAGCAAAAGCTGAATCCCGGACATCGACGGCCGGACATGTCCGGGAAAAAGAGGATGGTAACCCCTACTACTCAGCTTTCGCCACAGAACAAGAACCTGCTAGCTTAGCTTCCAGAAAAAGATGTCTGACACTATGTGTACATTGTGTGAGTGAGATCCCACCCTCTATGGGCGGGTTGAGAACATGCGGGACAGCCCCTACTACTGGCTGTAGTCTTTAGCCTCTGGCCAAAAAATCCTCCGATGACGCAAAATGACGAATTTTGCTTCATCGGAGGATTTTTTCCAGACAAAAAATACATAAATCTCTCGTCTCAGGGGGATATGAGGGTGGAAAGCATGGTAATTCGAAAATACTACAGGTTTTCTACTAATACAAAGCTTAATGCTAAATCCTGAACTATCCCTTTAACCATTTTGTTCTCTTTAGGGAATACAGAGAAAAACTCTGGTGCGGTTTGAATGAAATATGAGCATAACATGGACCAGAGACATATAAACGAACCAAAAACAGGAAGATGTGACCCTAAAAAGGACAAACTGGTCAAGCATAACAGGTTTGACGATAGAAATGCCAATCTGAACACTAAGCAGACCCGGACCAAACGAACCAAGCGAACAGAACTACAGGCATGAACACACCCTGAGTATTTTACAGTTCCAGATATTTTATCATCACTACTACATCAATCCAACAGTTCTTTACTCACCACCAATTTCTGCCATGCCACTGAAAATCAAACAGGAACGTGTTCTCAGCTTCAGTGTAGTGTTCAGTTCGAGCAAGACTCTCCTCTGAACTCAGAAGTTCACCTCTGTATTCAAGAACAAAATCCCCTCTGAAGAAAGCTCCAGTGGTGAAAACTCCACGCCCTGAAGAGGAGAAATTCATTAGCAGCAGTTTCTTTAATGTCAACTATTATTTTGATTATTACTAAAAGTTCTTAACCATATGATGTACATTATATGATGTAAAAGGGAAATTACTGTAGGAAAATAGTCAATAGCCAGGCTAATCTCAAAGTATGCTTTGCTTTTTATACTTTACATTATACTTTTAAAGGGGTCATGACATGAGACCAAATTTGCCTTGATCTTTTGGTATATAAGAGATCTATGTATTATTAAAACTTCCTGCAAGTTTAATAGCTTAAGATGCCCCCCCCCCCCCCATTATAAACGAAGCATTTATTTAATCAAGCTCTAAATACAGCTCGTTGTGGATCCATGGTACGAGGTGACGTCACGGTACGAAGTGACGTACCAGTCGTTTGCATATGACCGCCTCCAGCACAAGACAACTATGCCTCATTTCGCATCATCGCATGCGTTGTCATGCAGCGAGTGGGTCTGTTTACAAGAAGATTGCGATGCCACGCAGACGTGCTGTTCCTGGCTGCGGACAAACAACATGTTTGAATACGCCACCGAACGATCCAGGCGTCAGGGAAAGCAGTTGGATGCAGTTTATTTGCCCCGCCAAACAGGGGTGATTCTAGGATTTTATAAATGGGGGGGCCACAGGGTGGACCAAGGACCAGTCAGGGGGGCCCATGGGAAATCAGCTAGAAAATTCAACTAGAAATAAATACTTGTTTAGAAAATATTAAACACGAATTAAAAAATCTTTGCAATGCCCAGTGCCCTAATATAGATGGTATTAAATGTGGCACTGAACAAGAGCCTGAAAATCATTTTGTATTTAACATGGATTGGACCACACAGTTTTGTTCTTATAAATAAAAAAAACATCACCTAGGCATTAATTAGTCATCTAACATGCATTATTCTCAACACAAACATTGAATGTGTGTGTGAGTGTCGGTGAACGTTCTCTGCATGAAATCGGTCTCTAAAATGATTTCTTAAAGAAATCTTGGATGTCCTGTTGCGGTGTATAAATAAACAAAAACCCATTAAGTATCTAAATTACACAGTTGCATGTAGCTATGGTGTTAGTTAACATTCTCACATTTTAATGTTCACCACGGCACGACTTTTTTGGAAAAAGATTATTGTGCCTTTAGTATTTAAAACAACAGATAGAGTAATCTATTAAAAATCTATAAAAATTATCTATTTTATATTTATGTGGTCGTGCGCTGCCACGGAATCTCTATTCAGTCTGCCGAAATTACGTTAGCTGATCTAACGGTACTGGCTTGATCAGTCACACATGAAAGTAATCAGACTAACATACGGTGCAATATTTACAATGACGTGTCGAGGTATCTCTCTCTCTCTCTCCTACTGTTTTAAAAACGCGGACCTGTGATTTCGCTTTGCGAATCGCAAATCAAGCAGTGATTGACAGCGCTCTGATCCAATGGCGTTGGGCATTGTCAGGTTGACAGTAAATCTAGCCCAATGATGTTGGGGGGGCACCAGGGGGGGGTCAATCATATTCCAGGGGGGCCAGTGCCACCCCGTGCCCCCCTTCTAGACACGCCCCTGCCGCCAAAGCCTTATTTGATCGGTGAGTGATGTAGATGAGTGTGACAGGGCGCATGTTACTGAAAGAACGAGCAGAGCCCCGGCCGCGCGCGCGCCTTCAAACTGTCTTGCTCTCTCTCTCCCTCCCTCGCGCATATGCAGGGATGCAAACACATGTATGGTCCAAAAAGAGAGAGGTAATCGAAGCCCTCGCCCCGCAAATTTTCTTATAGAAAATATCCAGAAACTTACATTGCCACCAACCCCTGCCATCCCCGGCCCACCCCTATAGGCACATATAGTAAAATTAAATTCGAATAAAGTTGACAAAAAAGGTTTTATAAAAAGATAAACCTCATTCTTTTTATAAAAATGATTTAAAGGCTGAAATATACGAGTAAAAAAAGACAAATTACTTGACATGTACATTAACACTAGAACTCCCAAGGCAGTCATTTTGACTGTTTTAAAATTTTGCAATGTAATAACTTTGTTGAAATAAAACCCATGTAACTATAGGACCCTGACTTTTCCTAAATGTGTCTATATTTTATTCTATCATTGTTATTTTATTAAAATTACAAGACACAAAAGACTGAGTTTTGAGTATTTCTACCTTGAATGGTCATAACAGTCATACTGACCGTATGCATTACAGACCGTGTGTCGGTTGCTCCTTTTTCCTGCTCTTGAAGATGCATCACCGTTGACTAGCAACAATTTCTCTTGTTGTTTGTTTAGTCTATTGCAAAGCTGAAATCTAGCTTTAGCTTCGAGCTAAAACCAAATTGAAATATTGAAAAGAGAATATCAGAACAATGTCAGCAAGAAGAATGACTGCCACAGAGGCTTTAGCCATGCTTCAGAGCCTTGATGAGGCTGAGTGGTTGTTGGTTAACTAATACAATTTTACATACATCATAATTAAAATGTAGTGTTCTGATGTTTATTATTACCTATCCTAACATAACAGATCCATTTATTCTTAGATTTGATATAGCTTTTTGAAATGATATGCAAATAATGTATGAGCAGTCAGAATGACTGCTATGGCCATTATAGTAGTTATAGAATTCTGGGAGTCCTAGTGTTAATGCATATTAGCTTATATTTTATTATTAATAGTAAAATAACAGTCTGATTTTCCCGTGGCGTCTGTTGTTGCTATGCAACCATGCACTGCACTCTCCACAATGACAAAGAAGTTTTAGTAGGATTTTGACTGTACCACTTCTGCATGAGATGAGAACACTTTTTGAGAACACTTTTTAAGATGTTCTTGGGTCAAGAAAACGCTCGCTCTGTCTGGATGTGCTTAAATCCACAATAAGGACACTTTCCAGTCACACATGCTCACTTCAATAAGCCACAGAACGCAGGTTAATGTGTTTACATGCTGGGCAAATCTGGAATAAGGGGCAAAAATCTAGCGGTGTCGATTGGTTTATGCTTATGCCGTTTATGATGACCTTAGTCTGCGTTTACATGACCACACGCACTATGGGCTTATTGTGCATAATTGGGCTAAGAATGCGCAAATAAACACTGACTTTGGGTTGATGGAACCAGAAATGCAAAAATGCAACTGTTTTTGTTTTCGGGCTAATGCCTGCAGAACTCTATTCAGAAATCTTGACTGCACAATAAAAATAAATTATATATTAAATTATCAGTTTTGTAGAGTAACGTTATTACTGCTTATTCATAAATACTTGCCTTTATATTTGCTGATGAACTGCTCTTGAAGCTCAGGCTTGTCGGTTTCACAGGTAATGTGATGCTCAGCGTCCTGCAGAGGTTTCTTACGTCTTTTATTTCCCAGCATGGCGACTTACTTTCTTGAAATGACTGGGAAAAAAAAAAATATATATATATATATATATATATATATAATGTGAATGAAATAAACAAGCATATTTAAAAAATCTTGTTGATCTTACTGGAATTGTTCACCCAAAAACATACGTAATTAACATACAATTATGTTAAGTGTTCCAATTGAACCTCATGTTGTTCCAAACACGTGTGTTTTTTCTGTTCAACACTTAAGTATATATTTATATTATATCACAGAGCTCTATTCAATGACAGCACGTGTGACCAGTCTACAACAGGAATTTAGATTAAAAAAAGGCAATGTCAATGATGCCAAAAAACATTGGTTCTTGTGTGTCTTGTGACCACAATTGACATGAATCTACTATATTGATTAGCTACAGCATACAGGATATTTTCAGTCAATAACCAGCTAGATTTATATGGACTATTTCTAATGTGCTTTTTGTCTGCTTTGGACATTGAAACACACAATAAAAATACTATAAAGTGTCTATGTACCATCATTGGGCAAAAAAAGATAAAAAAGATAAATAATAAATCTAGAAAAAAACATTCCACTGAAAAAAAGATTTTTGGGCAAATATTGTATTACATAAAATTAAAAATATATCAAATAATAATGATATAAAAATATATAATTAATATTTTAAATCACAGTTGCAATTTGACAACACTTGAGAAAAACAATGATATAGTAGGCTATCACTGACTCGTTTTTTTTTTAATTTGTAGAATCTAAAGTACTATTATATAAGAAATAACAAAATTATATTTACTGGTCAATGCCTACAAGTAGGCAATATACTTTTTTCCTTATTGCAACAAATTATCAAATGAGAAACAAATAAAATACAATCGAGAAGTAAATAAAACCCTAAGCAAAAAATAATTAAACCACTAAAATAAACATACATCTTACTAACTTTCATATTTCACAATGTATTTAGTTATCATGCATTTTCAGGACAAGACTTCATCTCACCTTTCCTGCGTGGTGGAGGGTGGAGGGCTGTCGTCTGACTGTTTCGCGTCCCATTGTCACGTGTCTGCATTTCCCGGGAAAATACATCCACTGTCGCAGACGTGCGTAAATGACGTAGTTACGTATTTGGATTTCACGTTGCAATTGTGACTATTTATTTGACCGAATAGAAAACTCTCTGATGACAAGAATCTTTTTTTTTTTAATCGCAGTAGTGTTTCTTCTTCTTCTTCAAAAAAAAAAAAACTGTCGTGGATCAAGTCTTTCTAGTGGACAGAGCACATGATCACTTGTAAACGAACTCACCCGACTCGAACTAGGAACCAGTGCGCATGTCCGAACAAGCACAGGTTTAAAAGAGCAAAAAATGCAAAATGAGCAACCTAGATATCTTGAACAGACATCTTATTTTCTACTAATAGCATTTATTAATCAAAATAGTAAACTGATGTATGCAAATACACAGCAGGGCTGATATTCAAGCTGGTATAATATGTCTCTACTTTTGGAGTCTGTGTTGTTGTCAATTTATTCGA